TAATTTATTAATCTCGATTTAATTTTGGTTTATGATTTCCAGTACGATCAGTGTCATATAAAACTAACAAGCAAGCACATTACATGAAAAGGATCTCAATATTCGCAACGATTATGCTAAAATATCCGGAAAAGCGACAAATTGGGTCCCTTTCCCAGCCATAAATCTGTGCAACCTTTTTACATGGATTATTTTATTATGAATGGAAATATTAGCTCTTCTTTATAACATAAATCGTTGTCAAGTAGTCTCATGTTAAATAACATGTGATTACGATAACTATTTAAAGAAATAAACGACGCGATAAATTGTAGATACTTTTTGAGACTTTACTTAAAAGAAGTTTTGACGAAAAACCAGGATTAATTTTGTTGTATACGACAAATCTTAATTTCTATGTTGTATTTGCAATTTTCCTCTTTTAATTTCTACTTAAAGATGTAACAGTTTTTGTATCAATATTTTTCTACGCTGGTTGTGGTTTTTACAACAGGAAGGCAATCGTATTTCGTAAAGATAAGCTTTCTTGGCAATAATTTATGCGCTCGAGCATTTAAGTTATTCTTGTAAATAAGAAAATGTAGTCTATAACTGTAAATGTAGTCTGAAAGATAGACATAAAGGAGATGATTTAGTACTAATCAATATCATAGTTATTCAAGTAAACAAAACGTATTTGTCCTCAGTTTATATCGTTTAAAGTTAAGAGACATTCTTTAACTTTTGTTATTCAAAATAAAATATGTTGCGGCTTAGCGTGTGCCGTATTGTATACGATCTGTTTTATTCGAGTTTACTTTGCGAATACATTGTATAGTTACTTTCATGGCTTTGATAATACATTAGTGTGAGAGGGTCGTATTAAATCTCAGTATCAGTTGATGGGTTTTTATTTATTGATGGGCGCGCTACCTACATTAACATGGGCGCGTCATGATTAATGTAACACTACGGATTGAGTGTGCCATGCATTGTAACTTTAATATTTGACAAAACAAGTAAACTATTCACTTTGTGTATTAAATTTTAAAGAAGCAAGAAAGTACCGGTGCCGCTACCGGAAATATAGGCGTGAGTGCTTGTCGGTAAATAATTCGTTAAGCAAGAAAATGTTTACATCTTATAACTTGAGAATTTTAAGGCAGATTTCGTTTTGTCCACCAATTAATTGACCCTTCACCCTTTAAAATTGGCCAAACCCTTTTTATAACGAAACGAAACGAGCAGTTTCCCTCTAATCATATAAAAAGGGTCGCAGGTCGTCTTTTAACGTGGGAGGTCACTCACAATACAAAAGACATCACCTTACTTTCCCTAGGTTAAAAATTAACCATTCCTACAACTAAGTGTCTATTTCCACTTGGAGAATAAACGCGGAACTCTAGCGACCACATGGAAATTGGATCTAACTAAATGAGAATTTCTTACTGACTACATTTTCTCTGAAACAATTTATTTCTCTTTGTTTTCAAGCTAACGTCTTTAAAGAGCGTCATAATTTATCTCTTGCATTTCCTTTGTAAGTTCAACACAAACAATACAAATGTAGGTCAGATAGTATTGCTAACATTCGCTCGCTTCAGCACTTTCCTTTTTTCACAAACTGAGCAATAGAGGATATACTTATTCAAAATTACTTATTTTATCTGTTATCAATGTTGTTGTATGTACATATTAAAATAGCTTAAAAACTACTGAGTTGATTTTAAAACATCTTTCACCGTTAGAAAGGTAATTTATCTTTACGCTGATAAAGTCGCGAGCAACAGCTAGTACATGACAAATCTTTATAAATAAAAATCCGATAATACCAGGAATTTTATAACAATACAGCTTAACATAGACCGTTACTATAACATTTTTTTATGTTTTCATTTAAGTTTCCCTATCAGCCTAACATACGTTTATCTCCAATCCAAATCAACCCTAAAGCTCTCCGATTACCTGCAGTAAAATAATTATTCTGTCGGAACAACATTTTACTTTTGATTAATATCAATATGCGTGTGAAAAGTAAATTATATAACATGATCGCTGTTATAAAATCTTACCTGAAATAGGTTAATTGTTTTATTGCGTTAGCATCGAGAGAACCGAAGTTTGTTAACAGGAATGTGTTATATTTTGTAAACGAAAAGCAACTTTAACTTAAAATACTTAACAGTGGTAGAGCCCGCTTTAACATCTACGCACGAATGGATCGGCTCGCCCGGTGTAATACCACGACCACACAGAAAACTGGCGTAAAATGGAAACAATTCCGCATTTCGTGTGATGAGTGTAAATCGTAGGCCTAATTTTAGTCCCTTTCCACCCTTTTCTTAATAGGAAAGGATGGGAAGGAAAAGTGGATTTGACGCTGGAGGAGACGCATAGGAAAGGAAAATGTCCTCTTTATGTTTAGGAGGAGATGCCTCCTCTGTCAATTAAGGGTAGGTAACGCATCTGCAATTGCGGATGTCTACGGGCAGCGGTCGCTTTCCGTTTCGGTGGATTCAGGTGGCCGCTTGCTCGTTTGCGACCTTATGATATAAAAAAAAAAACGAAAACTGACTCAAAGCACACCTTTTATTTAAAACTAGTAGGTACAGTAATGTTTTTTTAATCTCTACTATTTTTTAATCATCTACTCTAGATTTAAATCGTATTGTATATAGTTGCATTCTTTTACTGTTAATATGAATTTCATTGAGAATTGTAGGGGTGTCAGATAGAATTAGGTCGGGTTGATCCGTTCACAAAGTAGAGTCAATAAGGCTTGGGTCACGTTCAATAGCTTTGAAAACAATATAGACGTGGCAAATGTAATTCGATAAAGTTTAGTTATTTCAAGTTACGTTACAGTTAGTTATCACACAACAGACCTGTCTAATGTTTAATCAATCTATTTTTTGTAGGTTTAGAGAATTATATGAATTAACTAGCTTTCGCTCGCGATTCCGTCCGCGTGGAATTAAAAACCAAAGAAAGTAGCCTACGTGGTCTTCTAGACTATCCTCTACATCTATGCAAAATTTAATCGAGATCCGTGTAGCAGTTTAGGCTACAAACTCTAGCAAACATCCATCCATCCATCCAATTTTCGCATTTATAAGATTAGTAAGATTTGCAAAAATTAATTACAAAAAAAATAATGAAATCTTTTTTTAGTTATTGTTTTATTGTACAAGTATATGTTTATAGGTTATTGTTAATAAATTTTGTAGGTCAAAACATATACCTCTTACATTTAAAAGGACAAACTACGAAATACAGCTTTTTTTATCTAACATCCACAGAGCAAGCGACCTTACAACCGTATGAATAGGCTAGATAAAACGATGAAATATGACCTAATACTCTGCTAAGAATTATTACTTTTTACCTAACCGACTTAACTTGAACCTCGGACTAAAAGTCCTTTGATATTTATCTATCTTGAAGCTGACTGAGGTCAAATTCAAACATGCAATAACGTAGAAAATCTGGTTTAAACATTGCATATCAATGTCATAGTGCATGCAATAAATTATTAAAATCTTCTCATAAATATTTATTTAGAACTAGCTTATGCCCGCGACTCCGTCGCGAAAAATACAAGGATGAGTGGCCTATTTGTGCTTCCAGACTGTATTCTACATCTATACCAAATTTCATCGATATCCGTTCAGCCGTTTAGGCAAACTCTAACAATCCATCCATCTAAACTTTCGCATTTATAATATTAGTATGATATATATAAGTATAACTTATTTATTCAAAACATCATTTAGCTGTATGTTATATTATACAATCACAATAAATCTAGCCAATTTATCTGCTTGCGAGAGAACGTCTAGGCAATGGCAGCCATAAAGTTAGTTTGTTCTAGATTGCCTTAAGTAAATAGTCTGATATATAATTTACGATTCAAAGAAATAATTGATAGAATCGTGATGTGAATTAACAAATGTATTAATATTCAGAGTTATGTTTTATCGCACCCCAAACGGACTCGATGACGACGTGAGAGAAATACAGAAATAATCAAGGGAGACTTCTTTGTCACATGCGTATAACCTTTATTACGTGCTTACAATTTTTTTGTATTTCGAAATGATAAAATATATTTTTAATTGGGTTATAAATTAATGAATTAAAAAAATACTATTAAGTAAATAATTGTTACGTGTGAAAACATTTTGTGTAGGCAAAGATATGAACTTTCACAACAAATTACATGCCATAAATAAAAACCTCTATATAGAAAATATATCATGAACGAGTAAAAGTTTTTCTCTGCTTTGTGTACAACTTACAAAAAGAAGAATAGTTATACTAGAAAACTTTGACCTCCGTCCAACATTAATAGAATAAAATTATGATTGTATCGCTCTTATATAAGTACATATGTATATATGTTACAAAATTAGATATACAGCGTGTCGTAAAAAATATTCTCTATTATAAACAAATAAATACATCCGCTTTATAATATTATTAAAACAAGTAATTACACAGTAATGCTTTTAACAATAACGTTTAATGAGTATTTAATAGAATACATATTTACTCCGTCTTTTAAATAAATATGTAAATCAAAGTATTGTTTATTAATTATTATAATATTCAAGTATATAACAAATAATACAGTGAGAAGCGCCTTTACGTATTATATAAGTAAACTAGCTGTTGCCCGCGACTTTGTCGACGCAGTATTAAGATAAAAAAAGTAGCCTATAATATGCCTGTCTATGTCAGCTACCCATCAGTGAAATTCCGGTCGAATCGACCTAGCCGTTGCGTAGATTACCAGGAACAAACGCAACTTGCGGACAGACAGAAAGACAAAAAATTTTTTTAATGCGATTTTCGTTATTAACAACGCAAATACATCGTCCGTCCGAAACCTGGTTTTTTCTTTTAATGTTACAAACAGACACTCCAATTTTATTATACGAGTATGTATAGAATAATATAATAGATATATTTCCATGAGTTCTTGATGATTTTAATTAAAAATAAGACATACCGTAAGTCGGTTATTCGGTCTTATTAAACGATAGCAATAAAGCAAAATAGGACCAAGATGTGCTCATTATCTGAAAAAAAGTTAAGTTATAAATCTGTGAATGCTTTAAAAATAATTACATAAAGTAGCAATAAATTACTCTTGTAAACGCTGCCATGTTGATGTCCACAAAACCATACGCTGTGAATTTAAAAGGCTTCTGTGCTCTGTAAATAATACAACATAGGTGAAATTTACATTGATACAGAATAGGAGGGAGAGAGAGAAATAAAAGGGAAAGAATAAGAATTTGATGATTTATGTAATTTATTAGTATATGTTACTTACTTAATTAAAATAATGATTAAATTTTTGGCAACTGGTGCTTTTACTTTATACCAGGCGCTACTATACACTGCTTCAGTTAACCCCTCATTCTAAAAAAACAATAGAAAGTCACTGTTGCGTATTTATGTACATTCAAATATTAAATGACTATCAAATGCTTCGTTCAAAATTAAAATATTCTACATACAGATTTTTGTATTAAGTCTCCGTAGTAGCATAATAAAAATATTTGCCCAATAACCATGAGCAAGAACGGGATGAATGGCATCACCATTATCATGTTATCTACTGCCTATAAAGAATAAAACAGCGATCAATAGGCAAAGTCTTTAATAGTTAAGTTAATGCACAAAAAAATACATGACTTATAACTACTAAATTACATTTTTTTACTTACCATCACATTAAAACCGGTGAAACAAATTAGTAAAGAACTGGTCAATACATTACAAAGCGTTGACTTCGAGTAAATTATCTCAATCCATTGTAAATGACTGAAAAAAAACGATAAAAGTAATTTACTAAATTTCAAAGACGTCGTAGTAATCTTTACTAAGCGCCTGATATTTTTTAAATGCAATATATCATTGCGTCATCCTAGGCTTTTAAAAACTAACCTCAAAGACCAACATTCTTAGTTTTAATCCACCAACCATCAACCAAAGCAAAACAGTCTAATCTAGATATCAATGTTTTTCTTTAATATTCATATTAATCAAAATAGTTACTCACCGCAGCAATTGTGTGTGAAATTCAACTACATTTACAATTTTTTCCCTCAAACCATTATCTCGTACACCTAATTCAGGATCATGGTGATCGAAAATAAATCTAATTTCATGTTTCAGTTGACAAAAATGATCATTGATTAAAACACAAGACGTGTATAATAAGGTATCCGGTCCCAAAACGGTAAACACAGCAAGAACGGCTGAAAAAAATGTGTTCATAACAAGTAACTATTTTTTTAAAAATTATTACATGGACATCTCCAGGGCGCTAGGGGTTGTAACTGTCTCCTCGCTCGAGAATCCAGAAATGTAAAATAAAAATATAAAACTACTATAATCATATTTATGGTAGCTGCCCTTAGACCTAGGATCATCGGCTGGCGAAGCCTGTATAACCCCATAAATACATACCTGACCATACTTGATGTATGTACACAAAAGGCCACACATAAATATTAAAAGCGTCAAATGGGTATAAAATAAAGAAGGGTAGCAAAAGATTTAATTCACCAGATAAATGATACTGAGATATCGAAATAAAAAGAGGTCCAATACTAAAAGCAATTATCCCAATAGAGTCCAAAGTTATTAAACATTTTAGGGCTCTATCAAGAAAAATCATATTAAGTTGCAATAACTTTGTCTTCTGTTCAGAGACTAGTCTTGTTCCATCAGAACATAGGAGGTTAAGTTCGTAAATCAATTGATAAGCAAGTGAGATTTCTTTAAAGAAATAATAAGATTTTACACATCCCAGAAAACACATGGTAAGGCAAGGTCCCAAAAGTGTAAGGTCAATTAAAGCTAAATCTCCAGAAAAAGACCCTTTTATCATCCAAGATATTTCGCCCAAAACATCGTAGAGAAGACTCAGAAAATTTAAACAAAAGAACCAACGCTTCACAAGGCGTTTTATATTTTGTTCCGGTTCATGATTTTTAAGGTATAAGCCAATAATACTAAGGTAAGTGTTAACTCTCTTAATTGCTTTTTGGTACAAAATTTTCTCTGTATCGATTTTCATTTCGTTAAACTAACCCTTTGTAACCAAAAACAACATTATGATATACGTAAAATCCAAGCTATTTAAATAGCAGCGTAGACTGCTATTAGTTAATTGCTTAATTACAAAAGTACCATTGTTTGTATCGTCTTTTAAGTAACCAATAATTACGTTAAATACACAACGCATAAATAATCGCTTAATTACTGGCTCATTCCTTACCTCTTTCTTAGGATGTATTCACACAGATTATTATTTTTTTTATACAAGAAGGTGGCAAACGGGCAAGCGGCCACCCAAATCCACAAAAAAGGTGAAGCGACCGCTGCACATAGACATCCTCAATTGCAGATGCGTTGCCTACCCTAAATCGACGGAGGAGACATAAAGAAGATATTTCCCCTTCCTATGCGTCTCCTCCACCGTCAAATCCATTTTCTCATCTAATCCTTCTTTTATAAGAAAAAGATGGGACTAAAACTGGGCCTCCGGCACTACACTCCTCAGACGAAACGCGGAATTGTGTCCACTTCACGCCTGTTTTCTGTGTGGTCGTGGTATTTCACCGGGCGAACCGACCCATTCGTGCGAAGATGTTAACGCGGGCTCTACCACTGTGAAATATGGTAATACTCTTCATTAATATAGTTGTATTACAGAATAGTCAATGCAGTAGGAATGCATATTTCGGTATTTGCTGAAACATCGTATCATAACCATTTAGGTATGATACGATGTTAGGTAACCATTTAGGTATATTGTATAATAACTAGTATCACTGTTAAGAAATTATGTTAACTAAACTTGTCATTAACATGTGAAACATAAATTTAATTTCAGCTCATAAAAACAGGAAATTCGGTATAGAAGATTTCGGCAGAAAATTTATGGGTCTTATCTGCAATGGTATTTATTGTCGTAATGGTAAGGCTCAGCGACATGAAAAGGGATAATCCCGAGACTTATTCGCCGATAAGTGTAAATAAATGACAGTTAAAACATGCTTTTATACAGGTGAATCGGCTGTATAAACAACCGTTCAAATATCCAATGATCTAAAAACATTTTTCGATACTTCGATTTAATTACGGACGACATGAATTTACATAGGTTTTGGAAATCTTTTTGTGTGGTCACTTTAAGTGCGTTATGAAAAATGAAGCTGATTTCTTGAAAACTATAAAGAAATTTATATTGACAGCGATTAATAAATTTTCTATTTAGCGTTGATTCGTTGAAAATAGAAACAATTCTTCCTATTGGTACATACTTAATTAATAATCATTTCCCCGAGGGTATTTTTAAAAAACAAATGCGAAGAGGTTCTATGGTTTTTTACTCTTTAAAGATTAACTTCACTGACAAAAACGTCAAACAACGTCATTTGTCAAATAATCATAATACATCAGTAAAATATACGAAAAAATAATCACGATGATAAATACGATAAAATAAATAAATTAACAATGTACACCTGATAATAAAAACAATTTAAAATGCCTTTATCAGGGAACTTTCGAAGAGGTAAATATGTTTTAATCGTTAACAAGTAACCTGTAAACTCAAATACCCTAAATATTAAAATGTACTAATACTACAACATATAGAAAATATTGGGAAATAGAAGTTTTCTTTATTAGGTAAGGTTAAGTATAGTATTGTATTATCTGTGGTTATAACTATAATTCCATGCATGACTAAAACAATATTTGTGGTCTAACCAAACAATAAAAACATGCAGCATTAGATCACTTCAATAGTTTTGTCAACTTAAGTAATTTGTCATCATCATCACCAGCTCACTATATGTCCCCACCGAAGGGTTCGGAGCCTACCCTTAATTAGGCTATAGTCAACCACGATGGACTTAACACATGTTTTTGAATTTCTTGGCCGATATGTGCAGGTTGCATCACGATATTTTCCTTCACCGTAAGAACGTCGGGTAAATATAAAAATTCGAAAAATCGAAAATCACATTGGTATATGGCGGGGTTCGAACCCAAGACCTGTAGATTACAAGTCAAGTGCTTAAACCACTGAGCCACCGACGCTCTTGATTAATAACTCTTGAGTAATTTGTAGTATGACAAATTACGATTCTATCAGTAATATCCAAGACAGGTGTTATTTTAATTTATTATAAGCTTTCCTTTGTTTTAGAAATGCTTAAAGCTTTAAAGGATGCAAAGAAAAGTCAAACCGGCGAAGAAAATTCGGAAAGTTCTTCTAACGATATGCAAGAAGAAAGAAACGATAATAATGAACCTCCACCAAAAGCCTCTTCAGTAGTCGTCAAAAACCCAGTTAACGTGAGCACCCAGACACCAGATATACCGCCAAGTAAAGAGGATGTAAGAAAATAAGATCTGATAACAATACTCTAAGAAAAACTGAATATTATTTATTATTTAAATTATATTACTGTTCAATAAATAAAGCTTGTGTGAACAAATTCGAAACGAAAATATTAAATATATAGTCCCTAATCTGATATGAGTTTTTATGATTAAATATATCTTAAATGCTTTAAATACTTCAATTTTTTTGCCTAAAGGTAAGTTTGCGTTGTAAGGATTAGGTAACGTAATTTTAGAATCAAACTATATTATGACCAAAGCGTAATAATTACAAAAAAAATATCACAATCACCAAGTATCAAAAATTAAAATGAGAAGTTAATTACAACTTTTTTTGAAAACAATAATCAAATAAGAATTACAATTATATACGTTTTTATATAATTTTTGTACAAAGAAGAAAAAATAAAAAAGTATTTTATCGGTTGCTAGGGAAGAAATTATAAAAAAGTCTGTTTTGTCAACAAGACATTGCTTTATGTTTGTTTATAACTTTTAGTTTAAATAACAGATTTTATTTTAGTTTGTTAAATATGGCAAAAGCATTCGATATACCAAAAAAGAGAAAGCTGCCAAAATTAATGGCATGCATGACAAAGAACAGTCTTGAAAATATGAGAAACAAAGCTTTGTTCAGTCTAGATACACTTGATGCAAAAGGAATTCGAAGGTAAATATTGATCTTTGAAGTATATTTAGAAGAAAAATAATTATATTTGATGTACGAAGTTAGTATTAATTAGTTACTCTTTGCGCGATAAGATTTGAATAGACACCCCAGACGGCATGATAGAGATAATTTATTTCCATTTGGCGAGGCCACTGATCAATAACATTTTAACAGAAGTTCAAGTCATTATTGTAATTCCACTTTTGCTTTCAGACATAAGCTACCTTTGCACACGTGTATTGAATTAGAACTAAAAGAAGCTGGATTTTTTGAATCCTCAGATTATCTACAAGATCTTATTTATGATAACATTCAGATTCTATCTGAAGATGAAATCGGGATCGTGGTTGATATTAGAAAACGGGAGGACTTTTTAGAACATATTTGTGCTGGTCTACAAAGAGCTGAAAGAGAACGCGATAGAGGTAAGCGCCTTAATTTACCGTGACCATTCACTGAGAAAAATAATTTTATTGAAATGTATTTGCAGACAATAAGAAGAAAGAGTGCTTAGAGTTACTAAAGCTTGCTTTGTACTATTCTGAGCAAGGAAAAGGCATTTTATGGTTGGCAGAGAAATTTTTCTTAGCCGCTATAGCAGTAGCTAGCCATTATTTACTAGATGGTGGGAGACAAAAAGCTTGCTGTAAATATCACTACGCTTCATTTCTGCTCAACAAATGTAAGTTTTTCATTTAATTGTTTCAAATTTAACTTCGAGTCTATTTAAACGAAGAACGTTTCTCAGTTCCAGGTAACGAAGATATGGAAGAGGCGTATGAAATCTTTTCCGACGTACGGGATAGTGCAATAGGAAAGGTAAACGTATCTTTGATTTTATTTCATAAAACAACTCGACTCTACCTTTACCTAACATAGGACCGCTATTTAAACGAACAGTGGGGCATCTTCTCTTGAGACTGTTTCCGGAACACTGTCATTGCATGAGAAATTATATGTATTTTTTAAATTTTGTAGGATTGGCCTCTATTTGAAAATGACAGTGAAATCACTGAAGCACTTAGAAGTGCTCCAAATTCTGTTTTCGTAGTGACAGTTTTAGAACTGCATAAGGTTCTAATGAGTAAAGCGAGAGCAATTCGCGCGGAAGATCCGGCGAAAGCAGAAAGATTGTCACGTTTGGCTGAACGAAGAGCTAAAGATGGTAAAATATGTTCATGTAAAAAAAATCTAAAGATTGTATTAAAAAAAAGTTTAGTCGATACTAACAATACAGTATGATGTTATTAATAAATTGACTCTTAAAAATTTAATCAAGAATAAAAGGAATCTCGTTTTACATACTTCAGCTGGAGATATTCCAAAAGCAGCAGAAGCAGTAATTGAAATCGGAATAAGTCAATTAGCTATGAATAGTTTAAATAATGCTCTCAAATCGTTTCATAAGGCCTACAAAATATATGAAGCTAATAATGACATCAATGGTTTGTGTATATCGAAAATGCATCTCGCTGCTGTCAGGCAAAGGTATACTTTTTCAAACAAATGCTTAACATTTATAAACCCGGTCTCGCGTGTTATTTCGTTGTAGATATGGTTTTAAGAATTCACTTTTTACAAGCTTTTCCATTTAATTTACTATTTAGCGCGTGTTTAAAATAAATGATGCCATTGGGTAAATTAGTGTTTAAAAAGTTTCATAATTACTTTTTGTTAAAAGATTAGGCGATCACGAAACTGCCTCCAAATTGCTCACTGAAATGGGTGAATTGGCAATGCAAAATGGTTTACGTCGACATTTAGGTCGTGCTTTGCACTTACTTGGTGAATTGCACTTAAGAAGAGAAAGACCAGATCTTGGAACACAACATTTGGAAGAAGCTTTTATGTGTTTTATGGGATATATTGTGCAAGTAAGTAATGTTTATTGCGCTACACAGTTTTTATACGGTAAATTATTTTTCTTAATGGACAATTTTATAAGGCCAATTAAATTGTAATTAAATAACTTAATGGTTCCGTGAACATATTATTGTAATAAAATAATTAATAATTGTTTACTATACACTTCTGTTAATTCCCAGGACCAGATACAAGGTGCAAAAACGCAAACAAGCATATTGTATTCCGATATAGATACAATATATAAAACACAAAAACAAGAAGTTCTTGATGAAGATGCTGAACAGTCTAGAGTAATGATGGCGATTTCAGCTGGTAAATAAGCATTATTGTACTAAAGAACCATCGTAGCGCGAGACAACACAGTGAAATTATAAATTGATCATGTTTGTACCGAGCTGATCTGACAATTCCCTTAATGTAGAAAGTCATTGTTGGTCATAGAATTCAGTATTATGATCACTGATTCTTGGTTATTGATAATTTTTCTATCAATCAATACTTGAGTGGTTTTATTTTAAATTATATTGAAACAATTAATTTTAACGCTTATTATTCACAGGGAAAACGATTTGACCTTATCATTATTCCAATGTCGTTGCAAAATTATAGCATGTTTTATAATACGATTAGTTGTAACGTATTACATTTTAAATAAATCTTTTATATGGAAATTAACGGTACAAATTCCATGACATTATAGGTCAAGAACTCATGGGGTCATACTTCAAATTTCTAGAACAAGCTGCCGCGTGCACTGTTGCAAAAGTAAAGATAATTGAATGGAAATCATCAAAGGCCTCCTGGTGGGTGGATAAAGGTCATCATAAGTACATTCCTTGTCTATGCCCAAGTCACCATCGAACACCGTTGGATGTATTATGGTATGTATTTATGTTACTGATCTGTTTTTGGCAGTTTGTTTCGAATAATAGATATATTTTCTATTAATGATAAAATAATTTAATACTTAAAAGAACATCTCAAATATTCAAGCTTATTTATGTTTAGTTACATCTAGTTCAATGACAAAACCTCATGAAGAAGGAGGATATAGAAATAATGACGAGTGCTTTCAGATTACATAAATATTGTTTTTTTGTATTTACTTGTTATCGTGTTTTCCCTTATCTATATTAGGATGCGATTAAATGAAAGGTCTACTAGAAATGTCCTTGAAGACGATACAAAAACGGAACAGACACTAAATAGAGGAGTAAACATAGAAGACATCAGAAAATTGAGAAGCAGTTTTATTAGATAAACCTATTCGATCAGGTGAGGAAATAAAACGTCAAGGTTTCATATTTATTCATCTTTAATTGTTTAAAACAAGTGAGCGAAATTAACTATTTACAGAAAATATATCCGTAACAGATTTGAGCAAAATATTCTTTAACCGCTTCACAACCCGTTTCGACAAGTTCTTCCACCATTATTATACATACAATTATTAATAATTTAGTCAGTACTGGTATCATTTGCACTAATAACACTAGAAACTGTAAAAAAAAACTATTTTTCACAGCAGTAGGTATCCAGGCATTTTGGTCGTTGTCTAGCAGGCTTTGGCCAACCGTTTGCGTGGTTCCAAACGAACTTTAAACCCTTCGGCGCGTTTGAGAATGATATCAGCTTGAAGCCTGAAGTCGGTTTCCTTGTGGTCTGAGTGGATACGGAAATTCCTGAGTATCGTTGACAGGATTATCTTCAACTTGAGCATAGCGTATTTACGACCTGTAAAATAAATAGAATATAATTTTCTACTCAAGTAATCTTAAAAACTCAGAGTATTATTTATACACAAGATAAACAACAATTTTTATATATTTTTAAATGATTTAACTATGTATATTGTAAAAAAGTAACTTACCGACGCAACTCCTGGGTCCAGCAGAGAAAGGCACGAAGGCGTAGTAGTGACGATTCGCGGAGCGTTCAGGTAGGAAGTTGTCAGGGTCAAATGTATTTGGGTTAGGATACACATCAGAACGACGATGCAACTTGTATGTCGCAATGACCACGGTAGCCCCGGCAGGCACCTTTTTACCATTCGATGCTGTAAGAGATACGGTTATCGAATGTTAATTATAGTATTAAGCACCAAGTGCAATATCTTGGGAAACATGATAATGTGTGTAAGCATGGTCCTAGAACTATATTAGCCCTTAAGAAATAACAACGAAATCTCAAGGAATTACTAAATATTATCAAGGGACATTTGTATCTTTTCATATTGCACCTTTTAATAGCGACATCCAGGGTCAGACTTAGTTGTTTACAATTAAATTTAAAAGGATGTCACGATTTTAAAGCTTAAGAGCAAATTATTTTTGTTTTAAATTTTGCAATCTCTTTTAATACTTACGAAGGGTGACATCTTGTTTCAGATGACGTGCGATAATGGGCACTGGTGGGAACATTCTGAGGGTCTCCATCAAACATCTTTCAAGGTATTTCATTTCTAAGGTATCCTGGAATGTCGCCGGACGGTCGGAGTCACCGAATATCTGGTCGAGTTCTTCAACTACTTTATCTTGGATATCTTGATGAATACCCATCATAGACAAGAAGAAACTACTGCCAGCTGCTGTTGTATCGTGACCCTGTATGGTATAATTATTTTTTAAATAATCTATTTGTGTGGTAGTGTTAGAGCAATCATGTATTTATATTAAACGGTTTTACCTCAAACATGATTGTGTCGACTTGTTCCTTGATTTCCTCGTCCGATATAACGACACCGCTCTGAGAGCTCTCAAGTAGTAAGTCGAGGAAAGCCAGACGTTTCTTTTGACCAACATCATCGTCGACATCCAGATCGTCCTTAAGACCGGCGGATTGACCGAAAGAAAGTCCTTCAACTGATGTGGTCTTGGATGATGATGAACTATTCTTTGGAACTTCGACCTCACTGACAATTGTTGGTTTCTTTCCCGATTTGAACTCTGCCTTCTTTTTGGTGATAACCTTTAAAAACAAGTTAAGAAGACTATTTACTTTTTTTGTAAATATTAAAAATAAAAACCTCTTTATTCTCATTATAAATTAACGGAAATGCAGTGTTACATAAGGCAATTATATAAAAAAATATAAAAACAATGGGCTGCCGGCTCTGCGTGTATCACATGGGCGATGCCACGCCAATGTTAAATCATAACAATTCAAATAACATTATTTTTTAAATGTATATCAAGAAAATTTTATCATCAGTAAACGTATTAAAGATTCTTATTTCTTTATTTCCATTTACCAAAAATTGAGTTAGTCATATTAAAACTTGTTTTACCTTTTTGGTTAAGCCATGGATGACGTCAAGAAGTTTGTTTTGAACTTTAGCGTACTGAGTGAAGTTGAAGAGTAAGTCAGGACGCAGCCAGATCTTTGTGTGTCTCAAGTGGAGGATGTCGCACATCTTCATTACAGCCATAGCGTATTCGAAGCCACTTTGATCTTGAGTACTCTTGCTGACACCCATAGCAGTCTCTGATAAAGAAATACAAAACATTACATTCCAATACATGCAAAGTACGCGGAAGCCGTGGAGTTGCGGAAACCGTAACCCTTCTACTTTTACTATATTCCAACACTATCCACACTTCTGGCATTTTATTTTGAAATAAATACATTTAAAATAAGTAGTTCTCTTAATCTAGTTCCTTTAATATCAGGTATACCGGTATGAAATGAGCGTTTTTTATGAAAATAAAACACTAATTATTAATCGGAAAGTAAAAAACTTTTCATTCCAAGTATTGGCCATTGTTTTCTACACATTTTGACCACATTTCTGGCAAATGCTTTCCGCAAGTCACTTTCTAGTACAAAATTCGACATTTTTAACACGATGAAAAAATCTGATGTTGTCTGTTCAATGACTTAATGTAGACTAAATATGTTTCACAGATTTCATAGCAAACAAACAAACTAAAAATAAAGGCTCGTTCGAAAAAAATGTTTCCTATCCTACATATGTATCTTAGCGCCCACTTCATACCAGTATACCTGGTAATGTAAACACGAAAGCATGCTTCGGAGTGTGTACTATCTATTTCGGAAGTGGTAAAAACCAAAACATTCGGTAGATCGCAATCAAGATCTAATTTTATCTAATTGTCTTCAAGTCAGAATTTTAAAGGTACATTTAATATAAGTTGAGATCATAATAACACCTAACCTCGGTCATTCACAAAATTATAACGGTCGAGATCAGACATTTTATCACTTTATTGACGTCAATTTTAAGTAGAATATGTAAAATGAAACATGACGAATAAAAACGTGGAAAAAAACATTGAAATTTTTCGCAGGCTCTATTTGAAACGTATCCTGTTTTCGGCCGCATCGAGTGCACGATCGACTCGTTTCTCGCATACAAAACGATTTATACCATTAAAACGATGCAGAATAGAATATTAAATGGCGATCATCGGAGCAATAACGAAAGCCTTTGCGGGATACACGTATTTATTTCTTTCAAATTGATGGACCTATTGACCCCGCAGTAATACTACCTATTGTGTAACGATATGTGTTATAGGGTACTTAATTGTTCGCGCCGTTCGATTATCATCACCTATGTGTTTGAACGTGGGTGGTCGCTAACTTCACACGGAATTACGACATATTAACCATTTCCCTGTCACACGAAATGCATAACTTCATTACACACGATACGTAAAGGTGCATCGTGTACGTGCTTATGTATTTTACTATTAATATTAATAAATGCAACTTCTAGTAAACAATGTTATTACTATTATAATAAGGAATTAAATAATCCATTTCAATTAAGTTGTGTTTTACAATGTTTTACAAGTGGAAGTAACGCGGATATTGCCATGTTTGTAAGACAGTAATTTCTTCTGACCCCGTTCCGTAGTAATCATGACATTTTAGCTAAACTGCTTTGCATTGACCTTGCATAAATTAAACGGAATGCATTTTTTGCGTCCGTTTTTAATGCATGTTCTTGTATTTATATCTTCTAGTGGCACTACTACTGGCTATTTTTTCATTAGATAGCTTATTAAGCAAACATTTATCGCGTAAAGTCAAATAAGGAAAAAATGTAATAACACCGGAAAGAACGCTAATCATCAAAGTTCTCTAATCTTTATATGTAACTGGATCTTAGTCTCAAGGTGTTGTTCTTAATGGCATGTCGTGGTCATTGAGGGTCGTATAGTCTATGTTGTCACTTGAGTAATACGTGACAAGAGGAACAAATGACATTCAAAAGTTTTGCAATTATTACATCTTGGGTTGTTCCGCAAACTATCTTTATTATTTAAATAATTTATATATGAGTTATAATTAAAATAACTGCATTTAATGAATGTTTATAGTAGCTAGTAGTTGCCATTTCGTAAATTTTTCTAAGTCATTATTTAAGTTTTTATTTTATGTAATTATTTTGAAATAAGACTATGATTATGATAAAATAGCATGGATGCAATTAATAGATAAAAACAATCAGCTTATTTTTTAAGAGAAGAGGACAAGCAAGCAGCGAAACACCGTGCAATGCCTATGGACATCCTCTATACGAGAGGAATTGAAGACATATTATTGGCTTTTGAGATGGTGATCAATTTAACTATCCAAATATAACCCACAATCCAGGATAGAGTTCGAAACGTAACCTTGAATTTTAAAATAGATCAAACCGTTTAGGCTACTGGAGGTCGTATTGGAATGGAAATGACTCCACTGTCAATCAACAAAATAAATGATTTAAAGTTTATAATAGCAAAATATGTTTTCGTCTTAAACGAGATATTCATTTATTATTGAAAATGAATTCCATAAAATAAAACAAACTTCGGAAGTTACGGGTTATTGGACGTAATGGAAAATAAATGGAACGAGTATCTCACATTCTCACGGAACTTTTTAAAAAGGAACAATATGTTTTGATCCGTATATTTCCATTAGCTAGTCTCGGTCATAATTATGTAGTAGTTAATAGATACCGGTTTTTTATGCTTTATTTACTTTACCGATTGAATAGTTAGATATATTTAGCTAAGAAGTCTTTTAGAATGTCCGAAATTTTATTTAGTATAACTTTAAATCAGCCTTTTACGGAGAGGTCATCCTAACTTTAAAAAATAATAACATCTATAAAACGAAACTATAGATTAGTTATTTTAATTCGGAGGTTGCAGTTCTGTTACTGAATCTGTGTCAATGCTAGAGTTAGCGGAAATTACCCGCAACGTTGGATTGCAATTTTAATATAAATCATTAAATTATGAAATATATTTTCGATATGGATTTATGCAAAATAAGTTCACATTTTATACTAGAGGCAATAATGTAGGACAGCTTCTGACTTTCAATATGATGTATTTTCAATTGAGAACCTTATTATTTTCTATATCATATTATTTATAAACACACACACACAAATAGAATTTGTCAATGCGATTTCAAATGACACAGAGTTGTTGTATAGGAATTAACATTGTGCAGTATAATTATGCATGTGTAGTAAATAATTATGTGGTTTAAAATTCTATTGACCAACATAAATGTTACTACAATTCTAGGTATTTAATTAATAGCGGAATCGTTTATAATTTATGTTTGTCGATTCAGTTTTATAACTGGTTATTACACTGCACTTATGGCAGCAACCTTTGAAATTACTTGTTTAATGCGGAACTTATCTAATAAATATAAAAAAAGTGCTACATATTCTATTCTTTGTAAAACAGTAGTGAATTTTAAACACGTTGCTTTTACACCAAGAATAGTCCTAATAGTAATTTTCGTGATTATTTGAACAAGTATGTTGTCAATTATAATGCATAATTTTTGTCTGCGAGCAAAGATTTTCTAATCCGACTCGAAGGACCATATGCAAAGCTCGTCGGATAAAATATAGTGTTTTTGTGTTATAATCGCAAAGTAAGCGCTTCTACTTTATTTACGTTTACATTAAAATGAACTTACCAAGTAAGATTTCCACTGTGCACTCGCTCATATAGTCGTGGCAGTCGAACACGCCGCTCTCTTTCTTCAGTTTGTCGACAACAGCGCGGGAGTTGGCGTTGAACAGGTCGATGAAACTCTTCAGCACGTTCAAGTGGAAAGTTGGTGCGATCAACTTGCGATGAGACCGCCATTTTTGTCCTAATACGTTGACATTATCATGAGATTCAAAATGTATACGAACACTAATGCTATCTCTGTTATTTCTCAGAATACGAGAGAGTTAACAATATTGTTGTAATACTGTTATGACAGTGGAGATTCACCTTTAAGATGTTTATTTAATACATAATAGGTACCCAAGGATAGAGACTCGCTTATGTTTGTTATACAAAAAAGTGGAATATTCTAACATGCAAATTACTATCATGATTGACTTACGTAATCGGGGGGCCTAGCACGAAAATTTGCGGGAAGTATTCGTAGCGTTTTTGACAAAATTGTATTAGATTTGTGCATCGGGAAAAGAACACCAA